ACGGCGAACGACGACAGTTCCCCGAGAAGAATCTAGTCGGGGCGGAGAAAGTACTCGCTCGGATGTATCACGAGCACCATACATCGAAGATGTACACCGCCACAGCACTTGGCGAGATAGTGTCACAAAGGATCTGGACTAGCTTCGACACGATCAACTCGGCCAGGAAGAAGGATACGCACGAGAAGAAACTGGTCCTCGACGAACGCAATAACATCACCGAGAAGTCACACGATGAGTGGGATGTGCGAGGACAATGGATGCTTATAGACGCGATTGAGGCAATCCGATGGGCCTGGATCCTCATTAAGTATGCCTCCGAGACGGTCGTCAACAAATACGTCGATTGGTTCATTCGTCTCGTACGCAAACATTCACAACGCATTAACAACGTGAAAAGCCTTTGGGAAGAATTCTCTTGGGACATCGCCATGCGCATGCGATCTAACGAGACCTTCCAAGCGATCACCGACGACCTCATCAACGACCTCACCAGAGTCAACGACGTTATACAACAACCGCTGTCGAAGAAGCAGCGATTCGGCAAAGGCGCCGAACAAACCCCGAAAGGGAAAGGAAAAGGATATCAGCAGAAGTGGTCACCTCCAGGACAAGGACGGCGATATCGACAACCCTGGTCCAATCCGACCACACAATGGCGCTCATGGCAACCTTCGACACCTACGTGGACTACACAGGCCATGTCTTCTTGGCAAGCCACCCCGACACAAGCATGGACATCTCCTACGACGCCGACTTTCTTTACTCCGACACCATCACCGACCCTGCCACTGAACCCGGCTCCTCATGTATCTCAAACACGACCTCCTTGGAACGCGAAGGGAGACAAAGGCTCGAAAGGCGCCGGCAAGAAGGGCAAAGCCGGTAAGTCCGGCAAGAAATAGGGACAGCACGGCCCAGGGTCTGCCGACCCTGGAGCCGACCATCGACCGACAGAGTTACACGACCGAACTTGTACATTGTGCTACGAGTTGGTCGGCACCTTACCGGTGGTGCACCTGTCCTTCTTCGATGGTATCGGGATTGCCTCCGAAGCACTACGACGAATCAATGGGCACATCCTCCTGACCCTTTCTTGGGAGATCGACCTCGAATGTGCACAGTTTACCTCACAACACTTCGGATCCATACAAATGGGGGACGTGACACAGTTCGACATCGAGTCCGTCGCGGAGCACATCGATGCTGCTACTCTCCATCAACAATACATAATGGTGATAACCGCTGGACCACCTTGCCCCGATTTTTCGAACTTGCGTCACCGACCCCCAGGCTCCGAGGGCACATCGGGTTGGCTTTTCAGTCACATGGTGGGCATCGAACACCAACTCCGAAAACGCTTCACTGGCATCGCCATTGAAACGATCTTCGAGAACGTGGTCCCTCACCCGGATGTTCACGACAACTTGCTTGAGCTCACATCGCCACTGAGTATGGACCCCATAGTCGTCGATGCAGCCGACGCCGGAATCATGCACCGGAAGCGGCTGTGGTGGACATCGATCCCTTGGAACATCATCGAAGAACGCCTTCCACGACTCACACCTTGGTCCTTGGACTGGAAACTCGAGGGAAAATGGCACCGACTCCACAACCCGATCGCTAAGGAATTGCAGACACACATCAAGACGAAGGACTACTCCCTTCCCCCATGCCTCCATAGCGACAAGAAACTTTTCCATTGCTTGACTACACCGTCAACATCGACTACGGGCCGAGATCCGCCTACACATCTCCGAGATCGCTCGACTTCACATGACGCGTGGCAACGATGGGAACAGGACAATCGTCGATACCCTGTGTGGCAGTACGAGGAGCAGTTCTTGGTGACACTACCCGATGGCACATGGTCTACCGCACCCGCCACACTTCGAGAACAACTTCAGGGTCTACCGCTGGACTACACCGCCACACTCGCCCAGGGCGACGAAACCAAACGATGCGTTGCTTTGGGCAACTCTTGGCATCTTCCCACGGCAGTTTGGATCATGTTCCTGCTGCTTCTCGGGACCGTCAACGCGACCATCCCCGACACACCACGATCTTCGGCTCTCCAACAGATTACTGCCTTGTGGCTACACCACAAAGTCCCTTTCGGTCCTCCTCCACGTTCCACGACACACAACTACATGCCTCAGTTCTCCTGGACAGAACACCTCGATTGGGCACTTCATCGCGATACACACTTGGCCCCGAAGACGCTGGATCCTACCCTCGAGTGGTGCTTACAACATCGACATGTGTTTCACCCACTCGTAGATTTCCAGAAAGCGATCATCGCCGACATCCGCGAGCTCGTCGAAGACATGGAGGATCACACCATGGCCTGGTATCACACACTCCCAGAACACGTACAACGAGCATATCGACACAAGGATTCAGTCACACAGATCCCAGTACTCGTTCACTTACTACGACTGATCCAATACCCACAAACAGAGCTGATATATCGCGAACTCTCCGAAGGTTTCCCCTTGATGGGCAAATTGACCCCAGGCATCAACTGGCACGTTCGACAGGACCTTAAATATCTCGAACCCACACCGATCGACGAGTTTGGTGACAAGAACCGACAGTACATCCACGACAAGATCGAGAAGAATTCCGTCGACGAACATTGGGAACTGATGCTGGATGAAATCCTGGCCGAAGTCGACATGGGACGCATGAACGGACCGTATCAAGCCCCCGACTGGTGGCCCCGTGCTGCCACGGTACCACCAGAAGGGAAACATCGAACCCTGTTACCACTACCACACTCCGATCCCTACATCGCCATGGCTTTCAGCATCGAACAGACCGGCAGCGACGGCAACAACAAAGTCCGACGAGGCGAGGATTGGCGCCGGAGTGGCCACAATGCGACCTGCACCATGCACGACCAACCGTACCATCACACACCCGACCACTTTATTTCCTTGGGACTCGCTACACTCCGAACCGATCACTCGAAACCCTTGTCTGTTTGGGGACATGACCACGACGGGGCTTATCGCCAACTTCCACTTCGTGATCCTCGAGAAGCCTATGTGATGTTGTTGACCCCGGACGGCCCAACGCTGTGGAGCCACAATGTCCTTCTTTTCGGATCGGCCGCAAGTGTCTGGTCTTACAATCGATTCGGCGACATTCTCGTGGCCTGCAGCCGAACGATGATCTTGTCTCCGGCCATGCACTACGTCGACGACTACGGATCCATGGAAGACTCCGACCTCGCCAAAGGCAGCTTCGAGTCCTTCGAGGAGTACAACGGATGTCTCCAGATATCGATGAAGCCCAGTAAACGTCAACCACCGCAAACAGCACATCGTATACAAGGAGTCATCATTTCATCCGACGACAACAACTTGGTCCTCACACCTTGTCCAAAGAGAGTCGAAAACATGTGTAGACAAATCGACACACACCTGACTACTTCGTCACTGTCCCCCGAGCAAGCCAGGAAGATGGCCGGGAAGTGCAACTTCCTGACTGGGAGACTATTTGGCAAGGTGGGTCGAGCGGCCCTGAAGGCACTTTATTCTCGAGCTCACTCCTATTCACATGCCCTCGACAAGCCCACACGCTCATCACTACTCGCCCTCAAGGACATCATACAGCACTGCCGACCAATGACGATACCACGCACACCGACCAAGCCGACATACAGCGTCATCTATACGGACGCATACTTCCGGCTTGGCTCCACCATCTACAAGCCGGGAGACAGCGACATCCCTAATTGGGACTCAAAGTCGACGTCCGACATCGAAAACGGCTGGGCGGCGGTTTGCTTCCACCACGGTGACGTGCGAACCGCCGCCTACTTCCAGGGTCGTCTTCCTTCACTACTTGTTCGACAGTTTGCCTCCGACCAGGCCTTCATCTACCTTCTCGAAGCATGGGTAGCGATACTGGCACCGTTGGTCTTCGAACCGTGGCTGGATCAGTTCTACGTTCAATGCTGTGACAACGAAGCCTCCCGACACGCCCTACTCAAGGGCGTCGGCAAACATCAACCTTTGAATTGCCTCATTGCGGCACATTGGACTTGGCACAATCGACGCAGTATTGCACATCGACTTGAGCGGGTACCCACCAAGGCGAACATCTCCGACGGGATCAGCCGCTTTGAGAACGTTCCGGAGTCTGAGAGCTGGACTAAACTCGATTTACCTCTTAATGCACTGACGAGTAGAGCTGCGAAGATCATAGGAGATATCCATTTTGCTTCCTCGACGGGTTTTTCCGACTTACCCGAAATTCACCGATTGCACGACCATTTGCTTTCGATGTTACGCTAATGTTCTTTCGAGTGGCGTTCGCCTGCGATGGGAGGACGCGACCACACTCGATGGGAACCAGTCGGTCCTCCCAGCGGAAGGAAAGATCAACACCGATCTGTAAGATCGACTACTTCGATCTGTAAGATCGAAGCGCAGACTTAACGCCACCGAAGCGGAAACAGTTGGAAAACACCTCCGCTGAAGCCAGGGATTCATGGCCTTTGTGTGAGAATTTCGTTGTCGTGTAGCACACACTTGTTTGTGCGAAGTGACAACTTCATATCTCACTTAAACACCGAATCGGTCAGGGGATTGACTCACCGATTCATGTCGAATGATTGTATACTCCGTGGCCATTTTGGCGAAAGCTGTTACAGCTTGAGTGAAATTTTGTTTCACCCACCCGTCCCGACCCTCTTCGATATTACTTTCAATTTTCCTCTGCTTCCTGTCTGCGAGAACCGCCTGGGAACCAGTCGGTCCTCCCAGCGGAAGGAAAGATCAACACCGATCTGTAAGATCGACTACTTCGATCTGTAAGATCGAAGCGCAGACTTAACGCCACCGAAGCGGAAGCAGTTGGAAAACACCTCCGCTGAAGCCAGGGATTCATGGCCTTTGTGTGAGAATTTCGTTGTCCGTAGCTTTCTTGCGTGTGAAGCTTTTTGTCGAGCCGCGATTGTTGGGCTCCACATTTTGTCGTGCGTAGCTGAGGAGCGAAGGAAATCGTTGACCTGCGACCCATGAACGGTGGCTTCCCCATCTTCGATCAGGGACATCTCGGCAGCTGCACGGCAAACGCCTTGGCAGCAGCCTTCCACTTCACCCTCCACAAGATGCAGGTGGAAAACCACAAGGATTTCGCAGACTTCACCCCCAGCCGACTGTTCATCTACTACAATGAACGCCTCGTCGAGGGCAGCGTGAACCAGGACGCTGGTGCCATGCTCCGCGATGGCATCAAGACGATGTCCAAGGTCGGCGTTTGCCCAGAGAGTGTTTGGAAGTATGATGACCAGCAGGATTTCTTCAAGCAGCAGCCCAATGACAAGGCCTACGAGCTTGCACAGAAGTGCAAAGTCATCGGCTATGCGCGTGTGGCACAGGACTTGAGTCAGTTCAAGATGTGCATCAAGAGCGGCTATCCCTTCGTCTTCGGCTTTGCCGTCTTGTCAAGCTTCCAGACAGCGGAGGTTGCCAGGACCGGCAAGATGGTGATGCCCCAGGCAACCGACCAGCAGCTGGGCGGCCACGCTGTGTGCGCCGTGGGCTACGACGACTTCCAGCAGTGCTTCATTGTCCGCAACTCCTGGGGAGAAGCGTTGCTCGGCTCTCGACCTAGATATAGCATGCTAGGGCAAGACGTGTTGTGTATTCACGATTTGCGTTGTTGCAGACCTATCAGGTGGGGCGACAAGGGGTACTTCTACATGCCCTACGAGTACATCTGCCACCCTTCGCTCGCCCACGACTTCTGGGCCATCAACTGGGTGGACGGCTTCAAGAATGCGAGCACCAAGAACCCGATCAAGAAGTGATGGATTCACAAGAATCCTTTGTACAGTCACGTTCCGTGCCAGTGGCTATCCCCAGAGGGGTGTCTGGCTGGGCACACCCCTACACTGTAGGGGGGTTTAATCCAACGGTCCTACAGTGTATGAACAGGGTTTGGAGCTTCTGAAACAACTTCAGAAAAGAGCGGAATCGTTTGTTATTCAGCTTTTCTTCATTGGCATAGCAAGTCCGACTGCGTATTTAAACCAACAACGCCTATCAACAAGTATCTTTAGCATTTATTTGTGTTATCGGTCTTGAACGTATCAATTTTCCTTGTCGTGTAAATTGTGTCCTCGAAGAAAGGAGTATATCAAATGAGCATGATCTGCGATAACCTAGCCTCATTAAACTCAATATTATAGTGATAGTTCCCTTGCCATGCAGGCTTCTTGGTGCAAATACGAACGAGCAAACGAGCGTAATAATTTCTTTGGCATATAGGCTGCTGGCCGGAAGTGCGAACAAGCAAGATAGGCGCGACAGCTTCTTTACCGTGCACGCCGTATATCCGACATATCAATAAGTAATATGAATACGATAGGCGGCTTCTTGGAAGAGGGCACAAATACGATGAACGTTGTACTTTCTACTTCATATAGGTTATATCTGAAATACGAATAAGTAAATAATAAAAGAATAGGATAACTATATGGTAAATTTCTTCCGTATGCCAAATGATTAAGGCGTCATGGTGGTGTTACGTGTGTGTGGGCGTTGCGTATGCGTATATTGGCGTGCAGAGTGGCGCGTTATTTGTGCGTCTCTTCACGAAAGTTAGTATAAATAATCTTTCGTTTTTTATTTTGATAATGGTCGTACAGTAAACTTAACTTAACTAGAGGGATACGCTTTTTCTTTCTATAATTAATTGATTGCTCTTTGGTTAATTCGTGCTATACACGTACGAAATATCGATTATATCGATACGATATCGAATTTAATACGAAAAATATTTCGAATATAAGATATTCTGAATAAATATATTATAAAGAATATTTCGATCGTCTTCGTATATTTGCTACGGAGTTAGAATTAGTTGGG